TCTGAAGATGATCTTCAAGAGGATGGCTTCTCTGAATGCTTCAAGTTTGACTCCACACCTCCTCGAAGGGCAGTGCTGCAACTAACTCCATCTCTTGAAGACTCTGAGTTCTCCTCCTCTGCTGCAACTGTGAATGCCAGAGTGATAGAGGATGAAGACGATGCTACTTCACCACCACCTCCTTCAGCATGCTTCGACACTGCTCCAAGCTCTTCTGCACCGCCAAACACCACCGACGACCCTGCTGCTTCACCTACTCTTCATGGGAACGAGTAGATGCTCTATGTCTTCAAACCTTTTTGGTCCTTACTGACAAAAGGGGGAGAAGCATATGAGTTTGATAGTCTTCAAGCGGGTCGATATGGGCGGTTGCTTTATATTTTGCTTCGTGTTTACAACTCTCGTTTTGATACATTTGGTTCTTTGAGTTGTAACACTTAAACTCAATGGTCGTCTGCTACTTATTTGCCACTTTGTGATGCGATGATAAATTCCGCATGTGCGACGATAAATTCAGCACTTAGATCATTTTGCAGATGTCCATTTTCCATTATGCATGTCATTATCTTCACAAACCTTCACATGAATAATGAATTGTCATCATAAGTTGAAGAGGATCTCCACAAGTACAACCTTCCATGTGCATTTGCATTCCAAAAGCAAATTACTTATATGCACATCTTCAGGGGGAGCCCTTGCAACTTATGAAGACAATTCCTTATCCTTTACAATTTCACATATTATATTCCCCGTTGAAAACTTCAACTAGTTTGTCATCAATCACCAAAAAGGGGGAGATTGTAAGTGCATCTAGTGCCACCCCTAGTTGGTTTTGGAGTATTGACGACAAACCTAGTTGAGGGACTAATGTGTTTGTGAGAATTGCAGGATAACACAGGTAGAAGTCCCTCATTGATTCGATTTTCCTACCAGAGATGACCCCTAAAAATGTATGAAGACATTGATGTCAAAGGTGGTATATGAAGATATTCACATTGAAGATTATGACAAGAGAAGACATCGCATGAAGCCTATGGAGCTCGAAGACTTAGATCTTTTGTAGTTCTTTTTCTTCTTTGTTGAGTCATAGGAACCACCGTATTGTTAAGTGGGGTCCAAGTGAACCAGTCAGAATGACTGAAGTGATGCTTAACCAAAACCTATGTCTTCGAGTGAAGACTATGAGAGCGAAACTTGTCCAGAGTTGGACAAGTCAGCTTTGCTTGTAGCCTAAGTAAAGCTGCCGCGTGAGTTTGAAATCTGACCGTTGGAACACGTGTCAGTTCCTTAGTGACCCAGGGTCATTTCGGACAAATCAGGTCGGGTTGCCTAGTGGCTATAAATAGCCCACCCCTACAGCCATAAACGGTTGGCTGCTCAGAGTTAGAGTACGGCTTTTGTCGTTGGAGAGCAACCCACCTCGAAGCCTTTGAGAGAGAATTCCTTGCGAGGATAAAGCCCTAACCACCCAGAGCCTAAGAGTGTTAGGCATCACTTAAGTCTTCTTGTCTGTGTGATCTGAAGACTTATTACACTTGAGGACTGTGAATCCTCCAGCCGGTTAGGCGTCGCGTTCTGAGCATCCAAGAGACATTGTGGATTGCCGGTGAACGAAGTCTGTGAAGGTTTGGGAGTCTACCTTGAAAACTTACCAGAGTGATTGGGCGAGGTCTGTGTGACCTTAGCTCAAGGGGAATACGGTGAGGACTGGGTGTCCTGAGCTGCGTGTTCAGGACTGGGTGTCCGGGACTATGTGTCCTCAGGTTTAAATACCTAGCTGCCCTAACCAGATGTACAGTTGTCATAGCAACTGGAACTGGTCCAACAAATCATTGTCTTCAACGAGTCACTAGTTTCATCCTTCCCTTCCCTTTACTTACTGTTGGTCCTTGTGAAGTCATTGTATGATTGCACTATCTTTTGTCTTCACTGAGTGACTGCGTGTTCTGTTTGGCTTCATAATATCTTCCTACCTGATCCTTACTACATTGCTGCTATTAGTCATTGTGCTTTCACTCCATTGAATACTTGACTATGGTTTGATTAGTGTAGTCTACCTTCCGCTGCATGGTAATAGGTTTATTTCTATCGTTTGTCTTCATAACTTCCACGTTTTGAAGACTTTCATAAAAATCGCCTATTCACCCCCCTCTAGTCGATATAACGCACTTTCACGTGCCTAATAGAGATAGTAGGTAACCCGGGTTGATGACGCCACGGTACACTTCTGACCACGCGCACGTGGCCCATTGAGGTCGGGTATGGTTGAACCAGTCCTTACAATACATACAGTGACGAAGCCACACTTAAGATGAGTGGTCAATTAATGACACAACTTTTGGCAAAAGCTACATACATCAAGTAGAAATTATGCCAAAAAATATTATAAATGCATACATCTAACTACACAATATTTAATTGACCACACATGATTGGATTCCTGGCACCTCCACTGCTTACATAAGGGATATGCCAAAGGGTACGTGCATGTCCCATGGGGGGAGGTCTGGCCAGACGCCCCAGAGACATGACAACACGCGTCACCGTAGCTCCCCGTGCAACCAAGTGCCACGACCCTCTTACCAAGTCAGGTCCACTGGTTGGGGAAATGTTCTTGGGAGACCCGGAGTCTCTTTCGGGTTCCCAGTCGACCACGCGCTTGGTGGAGGCCCGAGCATCGTATCCTCTTATTCGATGAATACTCAAGCCTCCTCCTGTAGACGGGACATCGTGACATGACTTTCTTCGTGGTTGGAGGGGGTGGGGGTGGGAGGGGATGTCCCCTGAGCCACTGAAAATTTTACCCCACCCCCATGCTGATCTCCCTCGGGCAGCTCTGGTGAATCTAAGGGTCGTTGTTTGATTCCTACGATAAACTGCTATTTACTTTTGCTTTTGTCAGCTGCAAGAGACATGAATTGGAGCTTGAGCTCAACTACTCTTGTATTAGGGTTACCCCTAGTTGTCGTGTTCCGTAAGCCATCTATATGCATCTTACATGAAACCGTAGCTAATTCCCCTCCAAAGTCCATACTTTTATGATTTAAATGCATATTTAATAGCACGGTAAGTTCAGTTAAACTCCAAACTTGTATGGACAGAGTGTTGAATGGTGGCACAATACTTCATTTCAAACGGGATGGGACGGAGCACACGTAACCCTATATGGTGTCAGATATGGAAGTTATCTTGTCTGGCTAAAGTCAAACTTTTTTATGGCGGACAGTACATGGTACTCTTCCATGTCGGGCAACACTCACTAATAGACACATGAAGGTCTCACCCTTTTGTCCTACATGCTCTCAGGATGTAGAAGATACGAAGCACTTGCTTTTCCTATGTAGAAAAGCGAAGGAGGTTTGGAAAAGGCTAGGGTTGGATATGATTATTGAGAGAGCTTGTGAGATTGATCGTGCTGGGGAGGCAATACTGGAATACTTATTACTCCTTCCAGATCAAGATCCGCGCATTATGGGGTACAAAAATGTTCGAGAAATGGTAGCTATCTCTCCTTGGTATCTATGGTGGGAAAGAAGGAAATTAGTGCATAAGGAATTCACTCAAAATGCGACTCAGATCTCAATGGGGATCATAGCTCTTACATATAATTTTGTAAATGCATCATCTTCAAATGCGTCCATGAAAAAGGGGGGTTGGCAATGTCCTCCTAGGGGCTTTGTGAAACTCAATGTTGACACCTCTTTTGACCATGACTTGCTGGAGGGTACGATGGGGGCAGTATTGAGAGACAACAAAGGTAGGTTTATTGCAGGAGAGAATGGAAAGATAGACTACTGTGCAGACGTTCTCATGGCGGAGTCCTTAGCTCTCAAATTTGGCCTAGATTTAGCGCAAAGGGCAGGATGTAATCGCCTAATCATCAACTCTGACAATCTGGAGGTGGTTGAGACCATGCAAGACGGAGGACAGTCAGCGGGAGCGGCGGCGGCAATCTTCGATGACTGCTATCACTATGCTTGTGATTTTATCATGACTAAATTCGAACATTGTAACAGAGAGGCAAATAAAGTAGCACATGAACTTGCTAGATTAGCTAGATTTTTTCCGACTTCGGATTGGTTTGAGGAGCCTACTAGTGAAATTGTAACATTTCTCACAAACGATGTATTAGTTATTGCTAATGAATAAAATTTTGTTTATTTCAGAAAAAAGATGACTCCTTATAAAGTTCTTTATGGAAGGGATCCTCTGCAATTCTTTGAACTTCCACTTCGCGCGCTGGCAACGCATGTGAACTACAACATGTAGTTCTTGATCCACATGCCCTTGCTAGGCAAATCAAGGAAATTTGTCTTCAAGCCCAAGAAAGAACGGGACACTATGCTAATAAGAAAAGGAAGGAAAGAGAATTTCACCCAGAAGACATGCTTACATCAGGCCGCAACCCTACAAACATGAGTATGCACCACCACCTGTAACTTCACTCTAGATTGTACGAAACTGTCTGTGTCCTTGAACGCGTGGGCAACATGGCATTTCCTATCTAGTAACGCACATGAGTGCTAACTGTTGGGCAGTCCCAGTTCGACAACTCTGTTGTCTGAGTGCTTCTTCGGCTTTGAGCTATTTTTATTTCTTTTTGTTTTTTTAGTTTTGTTTTCAATTGTTTTCTTAATTTTTTATTTGTAATTCATGATGTATTCTAAAAAATGCATCATTTAAAAAAATACATGATGAACATTATATAAATACATTGACAAACATTTTTAGATACCTTCTGAACTTTTTTTCAATACATGTTGAAACTTTTTAGATATACATTAAACATTTTTAATGCATGACTAACATTTACTAAATACATGTTTTCGTGAAAATTCGTAATTTTATTTTAATATTTAATTTATATAAATATTTTTAGTAATATATTACGAATTATTTATTTATTTTTGAATAAAAAATCTAAGCTCCTTGGGCCGCGCCTGTGACCGGCCCAGTTAGCACTGCGTGGGCTCCCAGGCCACACGTTCTAGGGCTGGCCCATGAGCGTTACAACGTGGGCGACGATTCCATACCCACCAACGGTTTTCCACTCACCCACGGCGCCCGGCGACATGGCGGCCGTGCGCCTATCCCCACGCCTCCGCTCGATTCCCCTCCTGCTCCCCGGTCTCGACCCCGCGGCCGCCGTCCACCGCCGCTGCTCCTGCGGCAGCTCGGCCACCGCCGCCGCGCGCGCCATGTCCTCCTCGTCCTCCTCCGCGTCGTCGGCCCCCACCCCCTACACGACGCTCGTGGGCCGCGTCCGCTGCGAGCGCGAGATCAAGCGCAGCAAGTTCATCGCAGTCGCCGCATCCGTCCCCGACGAGCGCGCCGCCATGTCCTTCCTCAACGAGGTGCGCCTCCTCGTTCCCACCCGATTCCTTTTCCAGCGAGTTCTTGACCCCTAATCTCCAGTTGCAGCGGCTCATGTAGTCCTGATTGCAGATTGGAGCAATCTAGTTTGTTTTCTCTACCTGGTCATCAGAAAATGATGTGCAACCCAATCAAATGCTCTATCAAGAGAACTCATTAGTTTATCTAGTAAAATAATATGTTCTGCTCACCTGAACCATGTGTTAATTCAGTTATTATGCTCTACAAGGTTATCCTTGTCATGCTGATGCATTTCTGAATGTGTTCATTCACGATCTAGTGCTTCCAATGGTGTAATTTTTGTCTAAGATTTACAAGCATTGCGCCTGATATGTTGCTTGTTATGTGTGCGGGCTTAGCCTTGCGGTTGTATACAGTTATATACATCAGTGTATTTGCATTTGGACTGTACTAGCAAACTTGACTTGTCCATCCCGAAACCAGAACTTCCGTGTACTCTGTTGACTAGATCTACATGGTTTTGTGTTATAGGTCAAGGATCCTCGTGCCACCCATAATTGCTGGGCATACAAGGTTCGTGGTTTTATATAAAGCCTTCTACTGATATGCCGTCTCTATGATTGTTAATGGCGAGTTGTCTTTGCACTCTTGTGTATTTAGGTGGGAGAACAATTCCGTTATAACGATGACGGCGAACCTTCAAGCACGGCTGGAAAACCAATATACTCTGCCATCAGTTCATCGGGCATAGATATGGTCATGGTTGTTGTAATAAGGTAGCCATTTGTCAAGTAATGCCCCTTCATTTTCATGATTTTTTATCATGACTAATAATTTTACCAGTTTGTTGGTATTTAACTTTGTATAAGTTAAGTGAGCTATAGAAATGAAATTGTAGATAAGTGATGGTAACATATATGTCACTACATCTTTTTATGAGACACATGGTTCATGTGATTACCTCTTTATGCTAATTTCCTCCTTTAAACATTGCTAAAGATATTTTGGAGGCATAAAACTGGGAACCGGCGGGCTGGTGAGAGCTTATGGTGGGGTTGCTGCTGAGTGCCTTAAAGATGCTCCTACTTGTCTTGTGAAGCCCAAGGTGGTCAAGCTCAAATATGTTCCATCTGCTCTTGCCTGATTCATGCAAGAATGTGAAGCTGGAAGTGTGTATAATTCTGACTTGGTGGGTATTTTCATTTCAGGCTCGTGTGGGCATGGAAGTACCATTTGATCTCTTGGGCACGGTCTATAATCAGGTATAGTAAGCATATACACAAAAAATATTGTACTGGAGACACCTCAGACACCAACACTTATTTTCAGACAATTAATTAAAGCATAAATACAGAGTTGCTATTATAAACATTTGTGGGATATATCATATTTATGGTGTGTCTGCTCAATAGAACCAATTGTGTTGAAAAACCTAAGCGCTATTTATCTAGTTTGAGTACTTGCATGCAGCAAAGTGAAATAAATCACAGTACATTGAGTTGTTCTGCTGTATGTTATGTTGAGTTTAGAGCCTAATGTAACCAGTAAATTAATTCCAAGCAATACTTGTGTGTCTTCTGGAGGTTATTAATGTACTTCTAACATTTTTTTTTGGGTGAATGGCTACAATTTGCTGAAGCCTAAGTATGACCGCTGAATCTTTGAACAGCTGCAGCATTTCCATGCCGAAGATATTAAACAGGACTATGACACTGGCAAAGATGGTACAGTTGTTGTCATGTTCAAAGTAGAATATGAAAAAATTGAGAGTCTTGGAAGCGCAGTGAATTCAGCTTGCAGCAGGAAAATTGAATTATTACAATAAGCAGAGGGGACAAGATTGATTGTTCAGTTTCAATGCTTAACTGGCAGCTAGTATAGCTTCTGTTTGTTGAGTGTAAGTATTTGTACAATCTAATCGAGGTAAATGCACTGGTGGTACATGAAGTTGTTTAGGATGTGCAGTTTGGTGCCTGATGTTGCAAAATACGAAAAAATGGTGCGAAAACTTGTTTCTGCGAGCATGTACGGTTCAAAACACAGGTGACGCCGTATCCTGACTCGCGGGGCCCAGTGGCAGCGGTTGGAAGCGGTACGAAGTGGAAGTGAAGTGCTGGTGTGTGGCGTTTTTGCAGAAACACCCCTAACCTCATACCGATTCCCAGAAAAAAAACCTGAACCAGCATTTGGCCACTTGTTACCTGAATCATGAATCGTGCGCACCTGCAATCCCTAACCCTTGCAAAATCCCCAATCACACACTTCTGCCGACGGCGGCTTTGCGGCGACTATGGCCTGGTGCCTGAACAGGGCCGCGAAGCCCTTGAGAGAAGAGGATGGAGGAGGTGGGCGGCGTCGGCGTCGGCTAGCGCAATGTGGAGGAGGTGCGGGACCTCTGCAGTCAGACCTCCCAAGCAGAGATGGCCGGCGCCGGCGAGCCATGGTACAAAATCTCGTCGGAGGTGTAGTACAACCCCCCAAAAAATCCCCGCTGGTGCTCGACCCCTTTATTTCTCTCACTCTCGTTGGTGCCCTGTAAATGAATGAGGAAGTATTCCCTTTTTAGGATGAAGAGCTCCCGGATTTTGATTTTGGGTGAGTGCAATATGAGGTCTGTTGCTGGATAATTGCATTTTGGGGTTGTCAATATGAGGTCTGTTGCTGCTCACTGGTCATTTCTTGTTGTTGCTTAACTAGTTCATAGTGAAATGTTTTTGCCCATGAGATTTTGCAAAGGATTTCAGGGTTCGCTAGTATGTGGAGTGGGTGGACAAACCATGGGAATTTATTGGTGAGGCAGCTAGCAAGAATTTGATCCTGGAGAATTTAATCAAGGAGAAGGAGGCCAAGAAGGTTGATGAGAAGGAGAGGCACGGACTGGAGAAGAAGCTAGTAAGTAGGATGTACAAGGAGAGGCTGAACTATAGAGATAGGATGTTATTGTCTGCTGTTGGCATGTTTGCACTTCTGTTTGAAGTAGCAAAGAAGTAATTTTGCCACCTATTTATTTGCAATGTAATGGATGGACATGGTAACGAATGAAATCTTTCGGAGAATGTTAAGTGTTTAGTCTTTTTCTTGAATGAGAATGAAGCTTGAATAATTTGTTGTTGACCGTTTGTCTCATATTACAGAGTAACAAAGCATAGATAAGCACTTCCTTGGGAGAAACTAAACAGTTACAAGAACACTACAAAGAACCTTACTTTTTTGGGAGAAATTGAACAGGTACATAGAACAGTATTATTTTGGGACAAATTAAACAGGTACAAAGAACAATATTTTTTTGGTGAGAAATTAAACAGGTACATAACAGTACGATTATTTTTATGTTGGTAGAACAACATACAGTGCACTCTGCTTATTTCGAGAAGCACATACAGAAGTAAATAACATGTACAAGCAGGTTATATCCATTTTGCAAAGGAATGCTACATCAGAGATGAATTTAGTGCATCATACATGGCAACAATAGTGCATTAACAAAATGAAAAGGTTCAACAACACAAAAGGGAAGATTCAGTACACAGTATTCAGTACATAGGTAGTTCATTCATGAACTTAGTGCATCACTTAAAATGCTTCAGGTGTTGTTCATCTACTTGAACTACAATGAGAGGAAATCATTCCAATCATCATCTGGAGGTGCATTCTGTGTGAACACAGCCTCTTCCTCTGCTTGGACATAATTTTGTGCTCGTGAAGTTTCTGTTCCGACAACATTTGTTGCTCCTCTTGTAGCACCTCCCCTTGCAACACCTCCTCTTGTAGCAGTTGCTTTTGCTCCTCTTGTAGCACCTCCTCTTGCTCCCCTCCCAGGCCTTCCTCTTGGTCCTCTCCCAGCCCCTCCTCTTGTTCCTCTTCTTGCTGATTGCTGCCTGCCCCTGGACATAGCTGTAGTCACTCTGGCAGGTGGAAGATCAGCTCTTGCATTTGCAATGAAAGTGGACTCAGGTAGTGGACCAAAGTCCCTGGCAGGTGGATATGTGAACCTCTCCTAATAAATCAAATGATATGATTATAAGTAGAAAAAACTAAACAGTGGAAGAATCTTGAGTTCGAGTTTCAGTTGACATAACACCTGCTCTTGCATCATGAAAATCATTGACCCAGGAGTTTGAGTTGGATCCAAATCAGCATGCACTGTGTGTGGCATTATGTCCTGCATATGGTAAAGAACATATTATGAGGTGCACTTTTTAGGGGGAAAATCATAACGCTAATAGCTTAGAACATTACAGCAAGGATGGATGGATCATCATAATCTTCTTCTGCTGCTTGAGCAACTTCTTCATTTGGAATGTCATTCCTACTTGTAATGGCCTTTTTTGTTATGATCAGGTGCTCCACATATGGAACAGTGCATTGTGGATCCATGCTTTGTAAGCTTCAGCCCTCCATGCTTGTCCTTTTTCTCTTCTGGATCTTTCTTCCTATTTTTCTTGGGCCTCCCCATAACTTTAGTGTACAAAGGTGGATAGACAACAGTGCCATACATTTTTTCCCATCTAGCTTTGTCCCTTAATGGCATGATGTTATAAGCATAGGCCTTCCTATAACTCTCCACGGTATAGCACATATGAACCATGCTTTCTGGTTCAATTCTTTCATGTCTGAAACAAGCTATGGAATGATGGCAAGGGATGCCTGACAAGTCCCATTTTTTGCATTCACAGCTATTCATATTCAGATTCACCAAATAGATGTTGTTGAAGGATGTTACCTGGAAAACTCCTCTACCAGCTTCTTGAACCATGCAATGAGCGGCCCATTCAATGTATTTATCAAGCTTTTTCTGGATCTTTGGGCAGAGTCTCCCTGTCCACTTATCTGATTCTTTTTGTTTGCCAACAATTCTGTGAGATAACTTGTCATGAATGTTCTTCAACATTGACACCATTGGTAGTTCTCTTGCCTCCAGTATATAACTATAAATTAATAAAGAATGTCATGACATGGTTTTAAAGGAATTACTATATGGCTACAAATGGACTATCATGGCATTGTTTTCAACTAATAATTGACTGCAATACATAATTAGATATGTATGGATTGGAAGCTAACCTGTTGAAAACTTCTGACATGTTGTTTAAGAGTATATCACACTTCGGGAATGTGTTAAAAAATGCTTTAATCCATGTTCTAGGCTCCAATCCCTCAACCCATACGTAAGCCTCCTCACTGTCAACCCTTAACTTGTCCATGTTTTTCTTGTATTCAATATCATGTGTTGATCTCGCAATTGCCCAAAGATCATTCTTCAACTGCTCACCCTTATGCAATTTGTGGAAATTTTGGTAGATGTGCCTAACACAAAAACTGTGATCGGCATCTGGGAAAATCTTTTGCACTGCAGCTATTAGACCCTGAGAAAAATAAGAGTACAGTAAGAACTATGCAAGTTTAAATTAATTGATGAGGACTGAAATTAAAATAAACACCTACTAACCTTCTGCTTATCACTCATTATAGTGTAGGGGGAAGTGTTGCATATATTGAGATCATCCTTGAGTGATGCTAAGAACCACTCCCAGCTGCTGGTACACTCCACCTCACACAAGCCAAAAGCTATTGGAAATATACAGTCATTGGGGTCAATAGCCACAGCTGTAAGCAGATTCCCTTTGTACCTAGTCTTAATGTGACAACCATCGAGAAATATTATGGGCCTACAACCAACAAGAAACCCTCTCTTACAAGCATCTATTGACCAGTACAAAGTTGAGAAATGATCCCGTGGCATTTTAGTTTTCTCATCTATCACTTCCTTTGTGCAAAGGAAAAACTTGCTGCCTGGGTTAGTTCTTCTAAGCTCCTGCCCATAATCCCACAACCATTTGAACTGGTCATCATCTTCACCTCTAATCTCCTTAACTGCTGCTCTCCTTGCTCTTCCCAATTTGAATCTGGTTGGAATCATGTTGTATTCAACCTGGACTTTGTCTTGGAATTTCTTCAAGGACATTTTCTCATTATCTCTAAACTCTTCTCTGAACTTTCTTGTAAGAAAAGGTGCAGTCAACACTTTGAGATCCCAAGCTTTAGTGCAGGTGTGTTTACCTTCAAAATTCTTGATTACAATGCTACTTGTCCTATTGTCCTTACCTGCCTTCATGTACCAAGAACACCCTTCTTTGCATACAGCAACTAATGTAGTTGCTGTATTTCTTGTCTTCCTTATTACCACTCTGTTTCTAACACTATAAGAACTGATAGCAAGTCTAAGCTCCTTCATGTCTCCAAAAACCATGCCAAGCCTGAAAGTTGGTGCATTCAAGTCAGTCTCTGGGTTAAATGCTCTAAAATTGTACTTCAGTTTCTCCCTTTCTTCTTTGCTCAGATCCAAGTGACTATCATCTACTGCATCTTCAGGAAGTTCTGCTTCAATGTCAGGTATGAACTCACTTTCTCTATGATCATCAACTTCTTTGTCCACATTCTTGTCAAACAAATCATCATCACCATCTTCTGCATCAAAATCACTATCATAGAACTCCTCATCCGTTTCTTCATCACAATTATCCTCTTGTCCCTCTGCCTCTCTACTCTCTCCTCCTTCCATTTCTTCAACAACATGACCAACACCTGAACTGGATCCTTCACCAAAGTACATGGACCTCCTAACTCTCTTCTCTCTCTTCTGTTTTGGACTATTAGGATTTTCTGAAGACCATGCAGTTTCTTTTCCCTTGCTAACTTTTGATGGGGTTATAATTCTAGGCAGCTCAGTAGCTCCATCTAGCAGCACATCATCTGTGGTCAGAGTTTGCAAAGTATCACCATGGTCAATAATCAATAGAAAATTTTTGTGCTCAATTGTTGCTG